CAGTGGATCAAGAACTTGATTTCAAAAGCTCATGTTTAAATTAAAAAAACAAAAACATTTCCTGCAGTGTTCTCCACCAGATCTATAGGAGTATCCTGGACATTTAGGCACCAGGCTGCTTTTGCCCAACTGTGTAAGACTACCACCTAGTTTTCTGTTCATACTTTCTCAAAATTTTAGGAGCTGGAGCTCTATTCTTTTACGAATGCTGCTTTGAGCTGCAAAATTCTTGCAACGGCACTGTGAACTTGGGTCTTTAACCCCCATTGTATTTTGGGCCTGTTGATACAGTTCTATTTACTTAGTTGTTGCCCAGCCTGTTTATTGCTTGGGGATGTCCCAAGGCTTATGAATAAGTTGCCTGCGTCCTGTTCTGTACGATTAAGATAGGACTTTTAACTTACCTGTAAATTCCATATCTTGGAGTACAGTACAGGACACAGACCACCCTCCCTAAAGTCTTCTTGTTACTCTGCATTGCATGCTGAGGATTCATGAAGTGTGGCAGGGTTATAGGGCAGGCACTCTAGGGGGGAAAGTCCTCAAACTTGCCAGTGTCCCATCACTTGAAGGTGTGAGGCTAATAACCCATGGTGTATGAATAAGTTGCTTGTGTCTTGTACCGCACTCCAAGATATGGATTTTACAGGTAAGTAAAAATTCCACTTTTTTTTATTTTACTTGTATGTAATTGGATATTTTTTTGCAAACTGAAACTTCACCACATTCACGAACCCCTGGGGCAAATTCCCATGGAAAATTCAACTTCCCTTGTGAAGCGAACAGCCTATTTTCCTTTAGTAAATCAACACCCACATGTCCTTTCTTGCATTCTGGTGGACAATATACACAAGCTGTTAATGACCATGAATTTGTTTCATGAATTAAGGTGGTAGTAAAATAGTTTAATAAATGAATTAATGTTTAATAATTGAATAAACTTCTCATTGCTTAAAAAAGAGGATAAAATGGTAACAAGCTGACTTGTAATAAATCCATATGAATGCATTTCATACATAAATAGATATACCAATATATATTGACCATATACAATCCAGATGTCAATACATAAATACTTTAAAATTGCATCCAAAAAAACTTGACACGTTTCGTGACTCTTAGTTCACTTCTTTAGGAGTAGATGCATGTATAATATAAATCAGCTAAAAATACATCTGACAGTAGCCAGATCTGCCAGAAGCAGATTCAAAGTAGGTGGGCAATCATGAGAACACCCAAAGTAATTACATGAATCAAGAGCTGGATGTCAAAGTGTTGCTTCTCAATATCCTCATGGAGCTCTGTTGAATATGCTTCTGACTTGTCCCCTTGAGTTCTCACGGAGTTGTACTTCCACAGTTCACGGGTGAGATTCCCCTGGTGATCACGATTTGGAAATACAGTCATATGTATTTTTAGCTGATTTATATTATACATGCACCTACTCCTGAAGAAGTGAACTAATATTCAGAAAACGCATCGAGTTTTTGGATGCAATTTTAATGTAATTATATATCAACATCTGGATTGTATATGGTCAATTGTATATCCAATTATGTATGAAATGCATTAATATGGATTTATTACAAATCATCTTGTTACCATTTTATCATCTTTTTTTATCAATGAGAAGTTTATTCATTTATTAAAAATTTATGTTGGAAACTTTATTCGTTGGTGGTGTGTGTTGTGCCTCATTTAAAGACCCAGGACAAATAAATTGGTTGTATGGATATAGTAAGGTATGGATGCACATCACTTGGTGGATCAGGTCACATTCTATTTTTGTTAATGTGCTAGTATGCATCACATACTAGCACATTATGACAAATTTGCCTTAAAATGAAGCCTTCCAGCGGCGTGCTGTCACTGCTGACAGGGCTTCCATCTTCACCCGATCTTCCTTCTGGATTCACTGGCACCGGCTGTTTGGCCCAGCTGTGATGCTGCCAGTCACGGCCACTGTACAACTCTCTCAACGGAGGGCATGCCATCCATTGAGAATGCAGTGCTCATGCGCCAGTGACGTCACCAGCTGCTACTAAAGTAAATATCTCCTAAACCTTGCACATTTAGGAGATATTTACTGTCACTACAGGTGTGCCTTATTATAGGCTTACCTGTAGATATAAATTAAAAAAAAAACTGACTTTACTACCGCTTTCAATTACTAAAATTAGCTGTCAGTTGTCACTGCACTTATTCTTCATTATATTTTATTTATGACACTGTTTGTATTATATAAATTATATTATATATATTATATATATATATATATATATATATATATATATATATATATATATATATATATATATATATATATATATATATATATATATATACAGTGGGGATCGAAAGTTTGGGCACCCCAGCTAAAAATTTGTATTAATGTGCATAAAGAAGCCAAGGAAAGATGGAAAAATCTCCAAAAGGCATCAAATTACAGATTAGACATTCTTATAATATGTCAACAAAAGTTAGATTTTATTTCCATCATTTACACTTTCAAAATAACAGAAAACAAAAAAAAATGGCGTCTGCAAAAGTTTGGGCACCCTGCAGAATTTATAGCATGCACTGCCCCCTTTGCAAAGCTGAGACCTGCCAGTGTCATGGATTGTTCTCAATCATCATCTGGGAAGACCAGGTGATGTCAATCTCAAAGGTTTTAAATGCCCAGACTCATCTGACCTTGCCCCAACAATCAGCACCATGGGTTCTTCTAAGCAGTTGTCTAGAAAACTGAAACTGAAAATAATTGACGCTCACAAAGCTGGAGAAGGCTATAAGAAGATAGCAAAGCGTTTTCAGATGTCAATATCCTCTGTTCGGAATGTAATTAAGAAATGGCAGTCATCAGGAACAGTGGAAGTTAAAGCAAGATCTGGAAGACCAAGAAAAATATCAGACAGAACAGCTCGCAGGATTGTGAGAAAAACAATTCAAAACCCACGTTTGACTGCACGATCCCTCCAGAAAGATCTGGCAGACACTGGAGTTGTGGTACACTATTCCACTATAAAGAGATACTTGTACAAATATGGTCTTCATGGAAGAGTCATCAGAAGAAAACCTCTTCTACGTCCTCACCACAAAAATCATCATTTGAACTTTGCAAATGAACATATAGACAAGCCTGATGTATTTTGGGAACAAGTTCTGTGGACCGATGAGGTTAAAATTTAACTTTTTGGCCGGAATGAGCAAAGGTACGTTTGGAGAAGAAGGGGCACAGAATTTAATGAAAAGAACCTCTGTCCAACTGTTAAGCATGGGGTTGGATCAATCATGTGTTGCAGCCAGTGGCACAGGGAACATCTCACGAGTAGAAGGAAAAATGGATTCAATAAAAATTTAGCAAATTTTGGATGGTAACTTGATGCCATCTGTGAAAAAGCTGAAGTTAAAGATAGGATGGCTTCTACAAATGGATAATGATCCTAAACACACCTCGAAATCCACGGGGGATTACATCAAGAGGCGTAAACTGAAGGTTTTGCCATGGCCTTCACAATCTCCTGACCTCAACATAATTGAAAATCTATGGATAGACCAACTTAAAAGAGCAGTGCGTGACAGACAGCCCAGAAATCTCAAAGAACTGAAAGACTTTTGTAAGGAAGAATGGGCAAAGATACCTCAAACAAGAATTGAAAGACTCTTGGCTGGCTACAAAAAGCGTTTACAAGCTGTGATACTTGCCAAAGGGGGCAGTACAAGATATTAACTCTGCAGGGTGCCCAAACTTTTGCAGACGCCATTTTTTTGTTTTCTGTTATTTTGAAAGTGTAAATGATGGAAATAAAATCTAACTTTTGTTGACATATTATAAGAATGTCTAATCTGTAATTTGATGCCTTTTGGAGATTTTTCCATCTTTCCTTGGCTTCTTTATGCACAATAATACAAATTTTTAGCTGGGGTGCCCAAACTTTCGATCCCCACTGTGTATATATATATATATATATATATATATATATATATATATATATAAAAAAGGAGTTCTCCAGACTAATTACATATTTGAAATGGGGAGTCTGGTTTAGTTGGTGGTGGTATACTTATCATTATCTCCACTGGCTGCCTATTTCAACCTTTAAAAAAATACCTGCGTCAATAATCTACAGCAGGAGATGTTTTATAATTTTCTGTGAAAAAAAATCCCTTTGCATGCCAGGTACTTGGTTATCCTGCAATTGTCTGTCAGCCTTTGTAAAGCTAGAGGAAAATTGTTATTTTTGTTGTTAGTTTGATGGGTAGGTTAGTAAATGGATGCTGATATGGTTGCTGTTATCATTTAGTCCCACATTTCAGTTTTACGATATTTAGGTACACTCACCAGCCACTTTATTAGGCACACCTTGCTAGTGCGAAGGAAATAACCCCCACACCATTACACCACCACCACCAGCCTGAACCGTTGATACAAGGCAGGATGGATCCATGCTATTATGTTGTTTACACCAAGTTTTGACCCTACCATCTGAATGTCACAGCTGAAATCAAATGCCCATTCTCTTCTGACATCGACTAGTCAGTTTCATCCACATAACTGCTGCTAACTGGATATTTTCTCTTTCGGACCATTCTCTGTAAACCCTAGAAAAGGTTGCGTGTAAAAATCACAGTAAATCAACAGTTTTTTTAAATACTTTGTAAAAAAAATGTTTGAAAACCATTTATCATTTTCCTTCCACTTCACAATTATGTGCCACGTTGTGTTGGTCTATCACATAAAATCCCAATAAAATACAGTTACGTTTTTGGTTGTAACATGACAAAATGTAGAAACTTTCTAGGGGTATGAATACTTTTTCCAGTCACTGTATTTGCACCAATTTAAACTATTTTTTGGCAAGCTTGTAACATTCTTACTTTCAATAATATAACCAGATTTTCTTTACATTGTTATGCCAGTGATGAGATAAGCTTTTGCAAAGTTAGTTTATTTTGATCTCAATAAGTGATAACAAACTTGAAATTTGTCCTGATTGCAGTTAGACAGGTTTAAAGAACCTCCGGCATTTGGTCCAATGTGTGATTTGTTATGGTCTGATCCCTCTGAAGACTTTGGTAATGAGAAATCACAGGAACATTTCAGTCACAATACAGTTAGAGGATGCTCTTACTTCTATAGGTATGTGAGCTTTCTTATTCTGTAATGGCTACAAACTGCTATAAATATTTTAATATTTAATATTTTGTGCTGACATGTTTGTGCTTCCTTTGCAGTTACCCAGCTGTTTGTGAGTTTTTGCTGACTAACAATCTGCTGTCAATCATCAGAGCACATGAAGCACAAGATGCGGGGTAAGTCAGTTTGCAGGACATCCTCTTAGCTGAACTGCATCTGTTTTTAAAAATATTATAATGTAGCTGTACTAATGATGTATATGAAAAATTGCTCTCCTGGTTAATCTAGTAAAAACGTCCTTCCGTCATGTTATCCAGCTGTAATGGCACTGGAGCAGAGGAGACACTCTGGAGAAAAAATAAATAAAATGAAGATCTCCCATCTGACCTTGTGATCTCAGCAGGAAGTACAAATGATCAAAGAGTGAAAAGAAGAACCCTTCCCCATAAACTCCTCCTTTGATTGCCCCTCTCACACTTCTTGGATCTGTCAGCATAGAAGTGATTGAGTAGAGTAATGTGTGTCTAATGCTCCAGACAGCTATCAAGCTCCTGGACCACTGAGAAAACATGTGCTCCCTACCATACAATATGAGCCTACAGTTATGTCAGGCAGGATAGGTGGGCAGTACAAATTTGCTGTCCTTACTCAGTAACTCCTTCTCCATGCTCCATAGATGTTATGACACTCCTTTGAGGGAATAAAGAGAGCTGGAGGTGTGTCACTTGGCTGCTCCTGTTGCTATTGTGTGAGCTTCTACACAAAGCAGCCATAAACATATTATTTGCTTCCCTACAAGGGCTGCTGACAGGGGCAGTAACAGTGGACTGATAGTGGCTTGGATTTAAAGGGTAAGGCAATTTCAGAATTATCTTTGGCATGAAAAAAGTAACTATGAATTTGAAAGTGGCTACAATTCCAATCTTTGTTTCATTTGTTTCATCTTTTTTTTTTTTTTTTTTTTTTGTTTTCTTTTCCTGCAGTTACCGAATGTACAGAAAAAGTCAAACAACGGGGTTTCCATCTTTAATAACAATATTTTCAGCCCCCAATTACTTAGATGTCTACAATAATAAAGGTGTGCTTTTGGTTAATTTCTAAAGGACTTTGTAGGTTGTAAACTATTTTAAGGAGAAGCTATGGTTTTATTTTCACACTGATTTAAATTTTGTCAAACTGATGTTTTATGGGTTTTTTTGTTTGTGTAAAATCTTTGTTATACAAATTACGTTTAATAGACGATGCACTCATAACATTGTGTTTTTTTGAAGAGAGAGCACAGTAGCAGCTAGTTACCTTTAGACTCCCTCTCTCTGATTGAATCTTTTGAACAGGAACTGAAAACAGAAGGGAGGTGGATGGGTCCCTACATTGACTCATTCAGTTAAGGGTGTTAAATATAGCTTGACCTGTTGAGCTCTGTAAACTAGCTTTGTCATCAGATAATATAATGACAGCCTGGAAAAATGCATGGAAGGGAAATTAGATCTCCACCTGAAAATACATGATTTTCAAATTCATCATTTCATATTTACATGACTTAAAAAGATTTTTTTAATGGAGAAATTCACTGTCACAATTTGTGCTACATATTGTCAGTGCTGGTCTTTTTCAGGTGCTGCTTGAGTGATTTACCATCTGTATAAATACAGAGGGTCACTTCTGCCCATTTAAAGACTGTATGATATTTTTTCAATGAATACAAGGCAGTTTGTTTCTGAATGTGGTGGAGAGGAGGGGCAAATTACATCACAATTTCACCTTGCCATATTAGAGAATATCTTGTGAAAAATGAAAAAAATACTAGATATTCTATGAAAGATGAAGGGGCCAACTGAACAACCCTCTGTGTTCAGTATACATATAGCAAGTCACCTGGTCAGCACTTAGAAAAAACAAACATTGACTGTGTGCAGCACAAGCCACTGGAGTGACTTTCTGCATCCCCAGCAGCCTTTGAATTCGCTGTAACCAAGCTAGACCAGTGTAAATTTTAAAGTGGTTGTAAAGGCAAAAGGTTTTTACCTTGCCGCATTCTATGCGTGAAGGTAAAAAAAAAAACCTGCATGCAGCTTCCCCTAAAGCCCCCCCCCCCCAAATACATACTTGAGCTCAGTACAGTACAGCACACGAGAGCCGATGCTGTCTTTGCACACTCACTCCTGATTGGTTCAGATACAGCAGCATAAGCCATTGACTCCCATTGCTGTCAGTCAGAGCCAGTGACGAGGAGTGGTGGGCAGGGCACACACAGAGCAGGACCCAGGAGAGAGCAATCCGCTGGGGGGTGGAGCCCAGAGCGCCAGTCACCCCAAAAGAGGAGGATCGGGGCTACCCAGGACCACTGCACTGAGCAGGTAAGTATAACATGTTTTATAAAGAAATAGATCCTCTTGCGCTTATATGGGTGACCCTACTATAAGCTGCTATCACTCAACCTAAACCAAAAGTGAATAAACCGTAAGTGTAAATAGCGAAGCGCTAGAAATAAATATAATATCAACATAAACTATACAGTGTACTGTTGAGATATTAATTATTATAATATTAACAATGTGGTAATGATAAGTGACAAACCTATAAATAAACACACTGTGCTCTGATCACATTAGGATCCAATAAAGTGCAACTCTAGTGATAACCACAATATGCACTTGTGGCGACACTCCGTGATCCTAATCTCCCTCTTATTTGAATCCTTAACAGGATAAATATGGTGATTGAACAATCGTGGTCCCTTATATAAAGGGAAATTATAATAGTGTTTGGTGCCTTAAGTACGCAACTTCCGGTGACGCGGTGACGCACTTCCTGGCCTAGAGGCCATATTGGTACACCCAGCCCATGCAGTACACCCATAGCTTGTGGTGAAAAACCGTTTGTTCATGGGAATACATGTGAGTGTGCTATTGGCTACTATTTTTTTCATTTGAGTAATAAAAGCAGTATTGCACTATGGAGGATATTGTTCTTTATATCTCACTAGCATGATCCTGAGTGGAGAAGGTGGATAGTGAGCTGTATTGCAGTACCATTGCCTTTAAGGAATCTGAGAGGAGTAAGAGTCAATACGATAAGGAGTATATATGACATCTGTCCCTGTGGTGAAAAAAATGTACCCTTAAGGATCGATTGAAGTGATCCTAAAGGCGTGTTGGCCCCTAGGGTCAAGGTTTGGAGGTGAGCGGGCATTTCTGCTGATTTGAGGATTTGGCACCAGAGTGAAGATCACCAGTTCACTTCATCACTTGTATGATTGTTTTGTTTTTGGAGAATCACTTATATATGTTTACTGGACTTTTTGAGAAGATTTTGAAAATTTGGGCATTTTGTCTCTTTAGGGAGGGACTGAATATTATTTATAAGTTTATTTAATGTTTATAAGGCACCAAACACTATTATATTTTCCCTTTATAATAAGGGACCACGATTGTTCAATCACCGTATTTATCCTGTTAAGGATTCAAATAAAGGGATATTAGGATCACGGAGTGTCACCACAAGTGCATATTGTGGTGGTTGCACTTTATTGGACCCTAATGTGATCAGAGCACAGTGTGTTTATTTATAGGTTTGTCACTTATCATTACCACATTCTTAATATTATAATAATTATTATCTTAACAGTACACTGTATAGTTTATGTTGATATTATATTTCTTTCTAGCTCTTCACTATTTACACTTAAAGTATAACATGTTTGTTCTTTAAAAAATAAAAACAAAAAACTTTAATACCACTTTACTACTAGAAGGTTTTACCCCCTTTATGACCAGGCCATTTTTTGCTATTTAGCATTATGCTACTTTTACCTGGTAATTGTGCGGTCATGCAACGATATACCCGAATGAAATGTATATAATTGTTTTCACACAAATAAAGCTTTCTTTTTTTGGTATTTGATCACTGCTGGATTTTTTATTTCTTGTTATATTAACAAAATAAGACAAAACATCTTGAAAAAAACCACCACAGTATTGTTTACTTTCTGCTATAAAACCAATAAAAAATTTTTAAAAATCAAACTTCATAAATTTAGACCAAAATGTATTTTGCTACATATCTGGTAATAACAAATTCCCATTAAGTGCATATTGATTGGTTTGCATGAAAGTTATAGCATATACAAATTATGGTGTATACAGTGCTCAGCATAAATGAGTACACTTTTCAAAGTAAGATTTTAATCACTATCTCAAAGAACACAAGAACAATTTCCAAAATTTTGACAAAACAGGTTTTTGGTTTTTTTTTATAGAACATTTAGCTCATTACATGAAAGTAAGGTTAATATTATAACTTAGATGACAAAATCTTCAGTTTTACTCAAATTAGTTGACGCAAAAATGAATACACCCCACAACAAAAACTACTACGTCTCTAGTAGTTTGGTTGACCTCCATGATTTAGAAGGACAGCACCGAGTCTTCTAGGCATGTTCTGAACAAGTTGGCGACATATACAGTCAGGTCCATAAATATTGGGACATCAACACAATTCTATAATTTTTGACTCTATACACCACCACAATGGATTTGAAATGAAACAAACAAGATGTGCTTTAACTGCAGACTGTCATCTTTAATTAGAGGGTATTTACATCCAAATCAGGTGAACGGTGTAGGAATTACAACAGTTTGCATATGTGCCTCCCACTTGTTAAGGGACCAAAAGTGATGGGACAGAATAATAATCATAAATCAAATTTTCACTTTTTAATACTTGGTTGCAAATCCTTTGCAGTCAATTACAGCCTGAAGACTGGAACGCATAGACATCACCAGATGCTGGGTTTCATCCCTGGTGATGCTCTGCCAGGCCTCTACTGCAACTGTCTTCAGTTCCTGCTTGTTCTTGTTGCATTTTCCCTTCAGTTTTGTCTTCAGCAAGTGAAATGCATGCTCAATCGGATTCAGGTCAGGTGATTGACTTGGCCATTGCATAACATTCCACTTCTTTCCCTTAAAAAACTCTTTGGTTGCTTTTGCAGTATGCTTTGGATCATTGTCCATCTGCACTGTAAAGCAGCGTCCAATGAGTTCTGAAGCATTTGGCTGAATATGAGCAGATAATATTGCCCGAAACACTTCAGAATTCATCCTGCTGCTTTTGTCAGCAGTCACATTATCAATAAATACAAGAGAATCAGTTCCATTGGCAGCCATACATGCCCACGCCATGACACTACCACCACCATGCTTCACTGATGAGGTGGTATGCTTAGGATCATGAGCAGTTCCTTTCCTTCTCCATACTCTTCTCTTCCCATCACTCTGGTACAAGTTGATCTTGGTCTCATCTGTCCATAGGATGTTGTTCCAGAACTGTGAAGGATTTTTAGATGTCGTTTGGCAAACTCTAATCTGGCCTTCCTGTTTTTGAGGCTCACCAATGGTTTACATCTTCTGGTGAACCCTCTGTATTCACTCTGGTGAAGTCTTCTCTTGATTGTTGACTTTGACACACATACACCTACCTCCTGGAGAGTGTTCTTGATCTGGCCAACTGTTGTGAAGGGTGTTTTCTTCACCAGGGAAATAATTCTTTGGTCATCCACCACAGTTGTTTTCCGTGGTCTTCTGGGTCTTTTGGTGTTGCTGAGCTCACCAGTGCGTTCCTTCTTTTTAAGAATGTTCCAAACGTTGTTTTGGCCACGCCTAATGTTTTTGCTATCTCTCTTGATGGGTTTGTTTTGTTTTTTTCAGCCTAATGATGGCTTGCTTCACTGATAGTGACAGCTCTTTGGATCTCATCTTGAGAGTTGACAGCAACAGATTCCAAACGCAAATAGCACACTTGAAATGAACTGTGGACCTTTTATCTTCTCATTGTAATTGGGATAATGAGGGAATAACACACACCTGGCCATGGAACAGCTGAGAAGCCAAATGTCCCATTACTTTTGGTCCCTTAACAAGTGGGAGGCACATATGCAAACTGTTGTAATTCCTACACCGTTCACCTGATTTGGATGTAAATACCCTCAAATTAAAGCTGACAGTCTGCAGTTAAAGCACATCTTGTTCTTTTCATTTCACATCCATTGTGGTGGTGTATAGAGCCAAAAATGTTAGAATTGTGTCAGTGTCCCAATATTTAAGGACCTGACTGTAGCAAAAGCTGTCTTTTTCCATTCTTCAAGAACCACCTCTTTTAGTGCCTGGATGCTGGATTGAGAGTGATGCTCTACTTGTCTCCTCAGAATCCCCCAGAGGTCTTTGTTTGGGTTCAGATCAGGAGACATACTTGGCCACTGAATCACTTTCACCCTGTTCTTCTTCAGAAATGCAACAGTGGCCTTAAATGTGTGTTTTGGATCATTTTCATGTTGGAAAAGTGCATGACGACCAAGGGAACGATATATATATAGAGCAGTAAATTTGTTATAATATAATAATACTGTTATAATATAAATCTGTTGATCTATAATATAAATTTTTTTTTTTAATCCAACAATTAGATTACTGTGGCTAAGGAAAGGCAGTTTATACTAAAATGGTTTTATAACTTTTAGTGTGTTACTGCCTCTAATGATTTCCACACTTGCATTACAGCTGCTGTATTAAAGTATGAGAATAATGTGATGAATATCAGACAGTTTAACTGTTCACCACACCCGTACTGGCTTCCGAACTTCATGGATGTGTTCACGTGGTCATTGCCATTTGTTGGTGAAAAAGGTATTAGCTTTGTTTTTTCATCGTTTTAAAAGGAGATCTTTTTAGAAGTGCATGACTAGTGATAAGCACATTGATATACAAATTGGGAAGCTCTGCATTATTTTAAAATTTACTGAAAATCCACATACAATTTTCTCCAATCTGTGAAGGGTCTCACAATTCATGTACTCCCTTTGCCTGGATGATTTTCTCAGTTGTTGTCTGGCTGAATAGCATAATCATGCAGGCAATAGCAACTGGTGATTATTCAGCTCGGCCACATGACTCTGCTGCCTATTCAGACTCTGTTGAGCTTTCTTTTTTTTCTTCTGGGGCCTGGTCCCTGAGAAAAGAAGAGATTCTCGTTGGTTAGTGCGGTCACATAGCCACATTGACCAATCACTACTCACCTTTGTCGCATTATGATGATACCCAGTCGCCAAGCTGTGTAGTGAAGATCCCAAGTCTGAGGTCCATTACGCCAACTAGGGGTGGCAGCGGAGTAACATAGGACCAGCCAGTTCGCAACAGAAACTGAGTTCAGTTTTTAAATTCTAGCATTTAGCTGAAGTCTGACATATGGGATAAACTTTCAAAAAATGTGCGACGTTCATTGTAGAACATAAGCAAAATGCTACTGTCCATTCTTTTTAATTCAGATTTTTGAAGTGCCCTAATTTTTATTTTGTTTTGTTGATTACAGTGACTGAGATGCTGGTGAATGTTCTGAGTATTTGCTCAGATGATGAATTAATGACAGAAGGAGAAGACCAGTTTGACGGTAGGATCATTGTAATATTCCTGGTTCCTGTTTATGGTTGTTTGTTACAACAGACCATTTCTACTTGGATGGTTCTATGACCAACAAAAACCATCAAAGCACTGTATGGTTACTTTCTTGAAGTACAGAAGTCCTGCTCTTTAAAGAGGACCTTCCCCCAAAAGACAGTGTGCTTCTACCTGACTCCAGCCCCATCCATCCACCACAATGTGATATTTTTTTCATTTAGGCGCTTTTTATTTTTTTTGTCTGTTGCAGCACTTCATAATTTCTCACCTAGGCAAGAATGACTTTGGGCACACGCGCACAGATGTGCTGAAGAGCTCTGCCAAGATTCAGGACCCAGCAGAGATCTTCGGTACATCAGCATGCTTGAACTGCACAGTCAAGGGGGTCTAGGACCTTTTTCTGCACATACGTGTGGATAACTCGGCATGTGTGCAGATGCACCACAGGGCTTTGTCAAGTCCCAAAAGCTGGGCAGAGCCCTTTGGTGTATGTACCAGTGGGAGGGACCACAATTACGGGGACTGAAGTTCCTCTTTATGAAATCATTGGACATCACTTTTTTGTTTCATACTGTTCACTACTTTAAAAGAAACTAATATGCAATTTTAAATACTGATCAAGCCTGTTTGCATTTGAAAGAAACTAAAAATTGTAATGTTCAGTAATGGAAAATTATCCCAGATTTGTTTGAGTAAAAAACATCTGGGGTTTAAATTGATGGGCGTTTTACAACCCCAGTTCCAAAAAAGTTGCGATGCTGTGTAAAAACAGAATGCAGTGATTTTCAAATCTCACAAATACTTATTTTATTCACAATAGAAAACATTTCAAAATGTTTAAACCTGAGAAAATTTGCCATTTTAGGAAAAAAAAATATGGGTATTTTGAAACTGATAGCAGTATATCTCAAAAAAGTTGGAGACAGGGCCATATTTACCACAGTGTAGCATCCCCTCTTTTTTTAAAAAACACTGTAAACATCTGGGAATTGAGGAGACCAGATGCTGAAGTTTTTGGAGAGGAATGTTGTCCCATTCTTGCCTGATATAGGATTCTAACTGCTCAACAGTTCTGGGTTGTCTTAGTTATTTTTTTCATTTCAGAATGCATATTACAGAATATTCAGAACTGCAACACAGAATCGAAGAATAAATACTCAGCGCAGCTGCTATCTCTATGATGTGAACTAATAAGACAGTGCTATTACATCACAAATTACCAAAAATAAATAATTTCAGAACATAAATATAAGTTAATAAAGTGCTTATATGCAATATAGTGCAATTTCACAAAAAAAAAAAAAACCTGTAAAAAAAAAAAAACAGTCCCAGGGAGGACACATTTTGAATGAGATTGCACTTTATGGTTTTTGCACTATATTGCACATATACACTTTTGTTTTATGATTTTATATTTAAATATGTTATGAATTTTTTTTATTGTGGTAATTTATTTTGAGGTGATAGCACTGTCTTTTGAATTTTTTTAGATTTGTTTTCATTTCAAGATGCTCCAAATATTTTCAGTTGGTGAAAGGTCTGGACTGCAGGCAGGCCGATGAAGCCTCAGACCATTCTACTACAAAGCCAAGCTGTTGTCATAGATGCAGTATGCAGCTTAGCAGCGCCCTGCTGAAATATGCAAGGCGTTCCCTTAAAATGATATCTGAACGGGAACATAAGCTGCTCTAAAAGCTGGATATATCTTTCAGCATTGATGGTGCCTTTCTAGATGTGCAAGCTGCCCGTTCCATACGTACTAATGCACCTCCATACCATCAGAGATTCAGACTTTTTAACGGATACCAAGCAAGAAGGTTCCCCTCATAACCAGGGGTGAATCTACCACGAGGCTAGCAAGGCGTTTGCCTAGGGCGGCAATTTTTAGGGGGGCAGCATCGCCCCCCAGAAGAAGGGACCTTTTGAGCAGCGGCGGGCAGCAGGAAGATTGATGTTTTGGGGCGTGGAGGAGGGCAGTTGCAGAGCTCTCCCTCCAGCAGCTGATGAGCCAGGACCAGGGGACAGCCTGCAGCAGGGAGAGAAGTGTCAGAGAGGAAAGAGCCCGGAGGAGGTGAACTGTACATTATACTGACACTGATTACTGACAGATCGTATGGGACTGCACACACCCCCCCCCCCCCTTCCTGCTGCCTAGAGATCAGCAGCCCTTAGAGGGGGGGGGGTGGTCCCATAGGATCTGAAGAAGAGGGGGGGGGGGAAGAGAGACAATAGGAAGAGAGAGGGGGGGGGGGAAAGGGAGAGAGAGAGGGAGGAAGAAGGGGGGGGGGGGGGGGTGAAAGAGAAAAAAAGAATCATATATACATTCACACACTTATTGAACTCTCTCATTGGGGGGGGTGCAAAATTTTTGTGTTGCCTAGGGCAGCACAAAATCTAAATACACTACTGCTCATGGCTACCAAAAAGAATGGCAAATTTCAATATTCTGACCACAGAATAGTTTTCCACTTTGCAACAGACAATTTTTTAAAAGAGCTCTGGCCCACAAAAGACAGCGGCTTTTCTGGATCATATTCAGATGTGGCTTCTTTGCATGATAGAGCTTTAACTTGCATTTTTGGTTGGCACAGAGAGCTGTGTTCAAACAGTGATTTTTGTAAGTATTCCTGAGCCCATGCAGTGAAGTCTATCACAGAATCCTGCCTTTTTTAAATGCAGTGCCGCCTGTGGGCCCAAAGATCAGGGGCATCGAATACTGCGTTTTGGCTTTGTCCCTTGTACACAGAAATTTTTCCAGATTCTCAGAATATTTTGATGATCCTATGTAGATGATATATTTAAAGTATTTGCAATTTTATGTTAAGACACATTGCTCTAAAATTGTTTGAAAATTTTAGATGCAGCTTTTCACAGATTGGTGAACTTCTGCCCATCTTTACTTCTGAGACACACTGGCTAAGATGCCCTTTTTATACCAACCATGTTACTGATCTGTTGCCAATTAACCTAATTGTAAAATATTCTTCCAGTTCTTCCTTGTTAGTACCACTTGCTTTGCCAGCTCTTATTGCTCTATCCCAACTTTTGAGATGTGTAGCTGCCATCAGTTTCAAATTAGATTTCAAAAAATTATCTTTTTTTTTTTTTCTCTCTTTCTTAGAATGATTTGTTTTCTAAGTTTAAACATTTGATATGTTTTCTATTTTCCATTGTGAATAAAATAAGGGTTTGAGATTTGTATTTATGTAGATTTTACACAGAACCCCAACTTGTTTTAGATTGAGGATGTAAGTAAAATGGGGCAAATGTTTTACACTGAGGGCGCATTTCTAAATAAACTAGTTAGATTTTGGAATACACACATGATCCATACTTCAGCTATAGATTGGAGTCTGGTGGGCTGAGTCACATGCTGATCAATAAATAATGCCCTGTCTTTGTACCCTAATCTCTTTCCATCTACCCTGTTGCATTCTCCTTGATATGAAACAAAAATTTATCCAGGAGAGTGGGAACCTTCTGTAGTGGTGGTGGCAACTATGCATGCCTGGGAACTTGAGTACAGGCATTTAAACCTGAAAGAAAAGAAACCAGTAAATGGGTTATCCCTCCAGCATCTACTGGTGGAAATATCGGTCTGTGTAGTCTGAATATTTGGTTTATGAGCATTTTTTAAATTTAAAGTGGTACTGCATCCAGATATCTAGAGCAGCTCTGAGGTGAATGCACATGCATCTGTCAACAGCTCTTCATAGAGGATGGGTTTAATCACCTGTCTGTATGAGCCCTACAGGTCACATCACTGTTCTCACTATCAATGCAGCACAGCCCAGGTTAGTCACTCACAGAGCTATGCCACTGCGTGTCACATGTCCTGTGACATCACGTTAACTATTACATGCCTTCCCTTTTAGCTCATTCAAAGCAAAGTGTGCTGTCAGTCAAGTATCTGATCCACCTAGGGGGCACCACACAATCTGCTCTGAATAGCCTGGAAGGGGAGGGCGTGTAATAGCCAAAATGACATCTCAGGACATGTGATGCTCTGTCCCTTACCCAGGCTTTGCTGTGGTAATAAAACAGTGATCACTATGACCTTAGTAAGTCTTGTAATGAAATAAAATGGGGAGCGTGTACACTGTTGTTGCAACGCTGCAAAGACCTTATGAGCCTGCAGATCATTGCCACCAGGATGGAGGAAGCCCTGGGAAATGCAGAATCACCTTGAAATTTTTTTGATTACATTTTTATAATAAAAACTAAGAAAACAGATACAGTAATGTATTTAAAAAGGTTTAAATATATAATTTTTTAGACATTTTAGTAAATCCATTACAGATCAGAGCTTCTTTTTCTTTGATTATGAATAAATGGAAACGGTCACTGGCTAAACCTCTCTTGCTTATATTTTAACTTTTCTACCTGACTAAACATCTTTTTTCCAAAACTTCGGATCACAGTATAAATCTATATGTGGCCAATATGTTTTTGACGAGTGTTGAACTTTTACTGATCATTTTAATTTGGAAAAAATATAAAGGATTTAACAAGACCCTATTTGATTGTGTAACTTGCCATTTAGTTATATCCGTCCAGATTCTAAAAGTGACAAATTAATCATTTAAATTTTTATTCAAGATATTTAGCTTTTCATTTGTAATGTGCCCTTATAAATTGTAAAGTGTACTTGTCTCTTTAATAGTCTGGTAAGTCCTTGTCCATCACAAGTGTTTGGAAAATGACTATTTATATTGCTGGCCACATTGTTGTTTACATGTACTCCCAGATTTACTGAGCTGCATTATGATAAATGTCATGCTGAGTAAACTTTGCTTTGTTAAGCTGTCCAATAGTTTTGCATTGATATAACTGTACATCATTTGATCACTGCTCACAATTCAGCTGCAAGCTTCTCACCTCCATTGTTATGTCCACATTTTCCGAACATCCAGTTTTTATTAAATCTGCCATCCTCTTCTAAACTTTGGGAGCACCACTGACCGTTTTATAGGTCCCTTTAAACAAAGGCTT